TTTATCAACTAACAAACTAACAATAACATATTCAAGTATATACAATTGGTATATTTGTGGTGACTGCTCTGTTGGTTCTATCAACCTGCTGTTTGTTTGGATCGAGGCATGCCCTTCATACTAAGGAGCAGACATGGTGCCATACTAGTCTACACCTCTGTATTGACTTTGGCCCTGACTCTGGAACTCTGATGGGTTAGGTGGTGGGGGGGAGGTAAGTGCAACTTTCCTGTGGGCAGCTTGTATTTAAAGCCTAGTGGTTTAGAGTCCCTCATCTTGGAAGGTGGGTAATGAGGTTGAGAGTCTCACAGTTCAGGTGGTAACTGCCACAGGCACATTGGTTGCTCCCTGTGGGACGAATGTAGTGATCCTTGTCAGGTCCCAGCGCTGCACCGCGGTGGTGGCTGCTGGACGATTGGTCAGCTGGAGCGAGTCTGCCAGTAGGCCTAGTGGCTGCAACAGGGTGGCCACTTCCCGTATGTCCGTGTGTGTGGTATCAGCATGTGAGACTTGTAGTGTTCATGATGAACGCCAACGGTACCGTATGTTGTACTGTTGTAGCAATGCCGTAAAAGGTTGCAGGGACTGCCATCTTATCCGCCGCGCTGCGGAATCCCACCACGAGGTCTCTAGGTGCCGACTCGGGAGCTCTCCAGGACTTGGGTATTCAGAATATTGCCTCTATATTGATGCTCTTGGCTTGTTTGGGCGCCACTAATGCTCTGATCAGCCTCCTCATGAGGTGTGGGAGTTCTTCTGGAGGGATGTTCTCTATGATTCCACAGATCTTTAAATTGTTGCATCGCCTTCAGTCCTCGAATGTTGCAAATCGCAGTTCAGTGTTGGCCTGCTGAAGCTTGAGTGACTGTACCTCCTGTTGTAGCTTAGCAATGGCTTGAGTGTGATGTGTGTGGAGTTTTCCACTTTCCCAATGCGGCCTACCAGGCCAGTGAGGTCCGCACAGAGATAAGCCATATCTGACTGGAGTATCTTTTGTAAATCTTCCATCCAATGGTTTCCATCGTCTCTGCCGTCACTGGACTGCTTTCGCCTGTTTTTTGAGCTTTCTGTGGTGGGTTTAAGGAGGGTAGATCGTAGAGGGCCTCGGTGAGGTCCAAATCCTCTGAGGAGTTTGAGTATTCCGCTGGACCTAAGACTACCGGTGGCCATCCTAGGTCTGCACGCGCTCTTTGCTTGACTCCCGGTCAAGGTTTGTCCACCCTCTGCTTCTTCGTTTTACGCCCCATTATGGGTAAGTGCCGCAGATTCTCGTTTTCTAAACCCTGGTGCGGTAGGAATCGCTGGTATAATCCCGATTATTGCAGAGCCCATGCACCATGCGACCGTCCAGGTCTTTAGCCAAGCCCCGCCCCCCTTAACCTTCTTTTGGATCAACAACAGCAACAGGAATGTTTGAATGCTTAAATGTGATACACTTTGGTCATTTCTTTCAACCAATCTCACTTTATTATTGTGACTTTTTAAAAATCTTATCACCGAATTCAATGACCTGGCAGATACTGCTGAGTTGTAAAGTTCAATCCGGACAGTTGACCGTTCCACCCATGTGTAAAAAACAAAGGTATGCTAAATCTGCCCACTCAGTACCTGTAAATACACATCATGGGCCTCATATTCTGGGCTTCCTCCCAGCCATGAAATACTCTAAAACGTTAAGAAAAATAAGGTGAATTTTTTTTCCTCTGCCATCTCTATATTTACTTAACGGGGAAATAGTTTACACAGCTTGTGTGAGAACGGTCAGGGCGCAGACTGAAGTTAAGGTTTTATTTAAGTCTTTGAAAGGCCAGCTTAACCCTTGAGCTTACGGCACTGAAGAAGACATAGCAATATCAGTAAGGACTGTAGTTTTGGTGCCATTTGGTCCCATTTTTTACTTTATTAACTGTAGTTTTCTGTACATCCCAAACATTCTTTAATTTCTTAACAGTTGCACCCACCACAATAACCACTTGACAGCAGGTATTTATCCACTACCCTTAATGTAAAGAGAGCTTGCTAACGCATGTGAATTTGTCTTTAATTCCATAACATCATATCATGTTCTGATGATCTAAATGTTAATTTTGTTTTAAAAAAACAAAACAAAAGAAAAAAAAAAAACATGCAAAAAGCAGCTACTGAAATAACATGGGACTTTGCTTCAGAACACCATAACAAATTTTCAAAAAAATCTACTTTCAAAGAATCAAATATTAAAATGATACCTTTCAAAACTTGTAGAATTTCCATTATAGAGAGTGCTGAACCATGGCATTAATTTTTTTCTTTATGGCGTTTAATATTTTGTTTATAACGGGCTTCCCATCAACTTTTTAAAAAATTGTATATTTTTATGTCCGAAACTTTGCTATCTCCTTCACTATGGATAAACTTAATAACACTTTAAAATGAAAATAAAAAGCACAATGGTCTCTTAAAATGTTAACAAACATCTTGACAAAATATTGCAAAGTATGTGACAGATTGAATGCTAGGGCATATTGTATCTATGTATATACCGTTTTATTTAATTAAACCAATCACTCAGCACACAGCACACAAAGGGTTAATGTAATTACAACCCCCCCCCCCCATTCAGTCTTGAACATTTATCACACTACACAACAATGAACTTAATGCCCCGCAATATATTAATGGGGGAATCTTCATTATTTTCCCCAAGTCAAACTAAACGACCATGAGGCCTGTTAGTTGGCATGTCCTCTCCTTGGCATCGCAACGATGGGTCTTGATGTTTTGTCATGTTAATTGTGTAGTTTATACCATGAAATTAAATGCCTGCTGTGGCATTGATAAAACTCTATTCCCCTTTTGTCAGAATGCAATAGGTCAACCTTAACCCAGCAACCACAGGCTACGGAACAGCTACGGAACAGCTGTAGGTTACAGATAGATAGGGGGAAGAATCGGTATAAAACCTGGTTGAAACTCGTAAATAATAATTGAAGCACACAAAATGTACATTATTTGATAACTGAATGTTGTGTCAGTTAAGAAGTAGCCCATAAAATATTCTCATAGAATACGTCCAAGAACACATAATTTAGGAAGTTGGGAAGTGGAAGACTGACAGGTCAAAGTGAAAATACATTTTTACAGAAGCTAACATTGAACAGGCGCATACATTGAATAGCTTTCTAGTGGGAATCTAGTGAGAATTCCTATTCCTCTATTCACAATGCAAGAGTACTTTTCTTGTTGTGCTGTCCATGCTGTTTTTGCTAAAAAAAAAAAAAAATAGATTAAAAAATATTTTAATCCAGACATTAAATTGCAAACTGAAAATGCACATTTAGAGTCAAATTGTAAGGGGACTTCTGGTTCTGGGATTATTAAATTTAATTGACTATATCCAATATTTTATCTAACATTTGCTGCAATTTCTCCATTATACATTATATCCTATGAATCTGCTGCTTAAGATTTCGACTTTATTCAATAGCTCCAATAGTTTGGTGTGGGGGAACACATAAGGAACACCTCATTCACATTAAGATGTCCCTCAAATGAAGATGATATCTCAATATTTTCCAAAATCAGATCAACAATGGTAATTCTCCAAATCTGATTTGGTCAATCACAATTCTAGAACCACAATTTCACAAATGATCGAGACTTAGAACTTGGCATCACAATCCAATTAAGTCCTGGCACAGCCAAGGCACACAGAGCCATTATTTCTGTTTCTCTTCCTCTCTATATGCTCTCTCTATGCGTACCGACAGGTGCGAATGGCACAGCTTATAACAATGGCTGACGGAGGGTAAGACGAGACACTTGGTTCCAGAATACAGCTAAATGCAAACCAATATTTGTTAAATACAGGAAAGTAAAAATTATTTTAAAAACATGGGATTGCTCCCCTTTAATCGTTAAACTTTGGCAAGCAATCCATATCATCCACAAACCCAGGGCAGGAATGGTTAATTTGAGATATAGTGTTGCATTTCT